TTCTTCCTTTCAATCTGCTTGGCCAGCGTCCGGAAAGGCCGACTATACTTCTTATATTTGCATCTCGACTCGACGTCGATTTGTTTGTTCTATACATTGAGGCTTAGTATGTGCCTTGATCTTCTGCTGACGAGCAGTGTCGCACGATTTGTTGAACCAGCCGTTGGATCCTGGTTTAGGCATCTTCACTTCAAGAGATGTGTTCCTCCAACCCAACGTGGATAATGTCGGTTATCTATGAATAAACAGCCAACGCATCCCCTTCAGCGAAACAAAGATGTATCCAAGGAAAGGAGGTGGAGAAGCCTCTGACCCTCTTCCAGTCAGCAGGTCCGTAGTCATTCATTTTTGTTTCAAATTTCAATTTTTTACGAATATCCGCCTCATACCAGACTTGCGAGAATCGGTATGTCACTCTCGTTACATAGGAGTTTAATTTTCATGTGAAGGAATAGAATAACTGGGAGAAAGTGGGCGTGTTTCTCTTACTTTCCGGAAAACCTTATTCCCGAACGCTGATAGAATAGTTGCTCCATGAACCATTTTCGGAAGAAAACATGCGGAAATCTCGTCGTCGTCCATCAGTACCATCTCTAGGGCCAGAGATGACTTTCAGAAAGAATGCCTAATGATATGTTTATTGTTATTTACTAGCTGACCCGACTGACGTTGTCCTGTCTTAGCTATATATATATATATAACAAAAAGTAGGAAAATAAAGGGCAAAATCCACAAAAAGGAGGAAAGTGAATTCGAGCAGAAAATGGGATAGGTGACCCGAGCGATACGTATTTCTGCTGGTTGGCTTCATCAGGCCCGAAATGAATTCACATATGTAACTACAAAGGTAGATACACATGCCCATACATCCGGATACGGGTGTAACCTGAGGAAACGAAGATGGAGAGAAAAAAAGATCACACACGAAGACCACAACAAGAGCCAACCTACATATTGTAGAATAAAATGGCTAGAAGACCTCGAATTTTCAAGGTGACATCTAACCACAACCACGCGACCGGTTATAGCCACTTGCTGTGGTACTTCAAGCCCAAAGGATCTACAAAGAGAAAATGATCCTTTGGGTACCACAGCAAGTGGCTATAACCGACCGCGTAGTTGTGGTTAGATTCGAGATCTTCTACCCATTTTATGCTACAATGTGTAGGTTGGCTCTTGTTGTGGACTTCATGCGTAATTTTTTTTCCTCTCCATCTTCGTTTCCTCAAGTTACACTCGTATTCGGATGTATGGGCATGTGTATCTATTTTGTAGGATCTGCTAAATCCAACCAGCAGAAATACGTATCGCTCGGGTTACCTGTTATACTATTTTCTGCTCGAATCCACTTTCCTCCTCTTTGCGGATTTTGCCCATTATTTTCCTATTTTTGTTATGTATATATTCGGAGGAGAACTGAACGAGATTCTGTTAACCATATAGTTCGGATAGCCAGCTCTCCTCCGAATATTTTGCCAATGACGAATAACAATAGTAAAAATGACAACACTGTTCGGTCCAACCAGACGCCCATGAATTCTTCAACCAATGAGAATAACAGCACTACAGTGGTTGCTCCTTTTTTCAGAGTTAACTTTGTTGTCTTGCCATACATCAAAAAACTAACACCAAAAATCAGGCTGTATAATTCCTTTAATTGTTGTTTTGCTTGTAAATCAGTGCTCACAGTCAACAGTTTGTTGTCCAAAATGAGGGATAAGGTTCAGTTGCTTGATTCAACCAACACTGTCTATCACATTAATTGCAACAACTGTAATTTAGTTTATATAGGCCAAACTTCGAGGTCACTGAAAGGCAGGATAACTTCACACAAAGGTGACGCCAGATTGCATCCAGAGAGATGTGCTTTGGCATCTCATATTAACAACACAGGCCACATGAATTTTGGCAGTATTGAGGCTCTTGACAAAGAGAAGAGACTCTCAAAACGTTTATTTTTAGAGATGTCCCACATTTTCATGACAGATCGTTGCATGAATAAAAAGGCTGATGTTAAGCAGCTTGGTGTTATTTATTCCTACCTGTTGAATTGCGAAAAGCTAGAATGGCTACATATCCAAATCGAACCAACATCGTCCCAAAATTAGAATACATTTCCAATTGCCATCCTGGTAGTTGAAATTTCTCACTCACAATCTTTAATATAAACTCACATAACCCATCTTTTCAAGTGAGTATCACTATCTCACATTTGTACACTCATATGAACTACACATTTTTTCAAAACAAATTAATTCAGCAATTTAGTAATTTGGATGGAAGTTTAAAGAGCGTCCCTCGTATACTTCATACCCAAATTGGACAATGAGGTTTACAGTTCCACGGTCCGGCGCGTCAATCACTTGCCATCTGTCGACGCATTATCTTTCCGTTCTGTCTCCCTCTCCACGTGTAGCGGAAGTAGGAGGTTAGAGACTGCATTCCTATTGTTTCCCTAAAATGTCTTCTCATGTTTAATAATTTTAATATATTCGGGTGTATTGATTTTTTTGACATGCAACGAAGGTATCTGTCGTTATCAATAAGCCCAATGACGGGAATGCCGAAAGCTTGATTTTATCGTCAAAAGAGTCAACTTAAGCCTAAAATTTGCCAATTTCCCAATTAACAATTAATTGTTTTTTGTGCCCAACTGGTCGTTGGCTCTGGCAATGACTACTGCTCACACATATATATATATAAAATTAAAGCTTCCGCCTTTTGTTGGGTACTTCGACAAAATTTAAGCAAAGAGGACTCTTTATACTTTTTTAATTCTCTCTAGCTTTCAATGGACTTTGCCATCATCATCAGGAGCTGCAATTACAATGATAACAGTAGCAACAATAGTGTAAAATGAATTTAAATTGACTCAACTTACAGTAGTATGTGAGGATGTTGCTAATTGTTGTTTACGTATAGGATGAGGGAAACGTCCAGTAACATGGTGAGAGCTGGATAGATGGTACAATGGTCAAAATTATATAAATTATGACAAGAACAAGTTAAAAACAGATTAAAAATTATTTAAAAACGTTAAAGCATTACATCGTGAAGCCACTTGATGATTGCACAAAATGGTGGTCATGGAATAATGAGTGAGATGAACCCTTTCACAGAAGGCCGAAGGTTGTCAATGTCTGTGTTGAAAGATGGAACGAATTGTAGGCGTGTGCCAACGTTGCCAAATCACTTCAGATGATGTGATTTTCAGAATGTTATGTAAGAAATTGTTAAACCGACCAGAGGCAGTTGAATAAACTATATTCTAATTAATCTGAAATTAAATTAACAATTATTATTAAATCGTGAGAAGAGGATTATTAGATTTTGAGTGGAATGAAATTTACTGGTGGAATCGGCCAAGATACAGATTCTATTTATGGTTGTGAAGAGTCAAAATTTGGGGAGATATGTAAGTTCTCCAATTTTTCGCAGCTTAGCAAATATGAGTAAATGACACTCAGTTGTTTAACATCTGTCTTTTTGTTGATACAGTTGTTATTCATGAAAATGTGGGACATTTCGAGGAATAAACGTTTGGAAAGGTGTTTTTCTTTATCAAGAACTTTGATACTTGTGTAATTCATGGAATGCCCTGTTGTGTTAACATGAGATGCTAGAGCGCATCTTTCAGGATGAAGCCTAGAATCACTTTTGTGTGATGTAATCCTTCCTTTAAGAGATCTGGAGGTCTGACCTATGTATATTTGGTTGCAGTTGTTTCAATTGATGGAGTAGACTGTGTTGGTTAAGCCAAGCAGCGGGACTTTGTCTTTCATTGACAACCTTCGGCCTTCTGTCAAAGGGTTCATCTCGCTCATTATTCCATGACCACCATTTTGTGCAATCATCAAGTGGCTTCACGATGTAGTGCTTTAATGTTTTTAAATAATTTTTAATCTGTTTTTAACTTGTTCTTGTCATAATTTATATAATTTTGACCATTGTACCGTCTATCCAGCTCTCACCATGTTACTGAACGTTTCCCTCATCCTATAGGTAAACAACGATTAGCAACATCCTCACCTACTACTGTAAGTTGAGTCAATTTAAATTCATTTTACACTATTGTTGCTATTGTTATCATTGCAATTGCAGCTCCTGATGATGATGGCAAAGTCCATTGAAAGCTAGAGAGAATTAAAAAAGTATAAAGAGTCCTCTTTGCTTAAATTTTGTCGAAGTACCCAACAAAAGGCGGAAGCTTTAATTTTTCACCTAGCTGGTCTAAACGACAATGACCACGTCTCAAGATATATATATATATATATATATATATATATATACTAAGAGGTTAGTTTTAACATTGGTTGTGTCACTTTTTAACAGAGCTTATTAGAAATCAACGAAAAAAATCATGACTTCTTTTTTTTGTGAAAAACCTCTTCAATCCCTCAACTTTGGAAGGCAGTAACAAAATTACCTTGCATTTTATTATTCATTTTATTGTAAAAACTATTCCAATCCCTGTAGAATAAACGCTGAAAATTTCAGCTTGCTATACGTGAAACCTTATTTTCGATTATTGAGCATGTGTGCTGCATAAGTAACATAGAGGTCGCATCTGTTGAACTAACGGCAACACCTAAAACTGTACAGGAATATAGAGAGTGTCGGTATTTTCATTACTGAATTTACATATATGACGTATGAAGGATATCGCCGGGCTATTCAATGTTTTGTTGCTCAGGAACACATGTTGGAGTTCAAGTCAAATTTGCGACGAGAAAGGTGTTTAGAGAACGGACCTTGGTGGGGGATCAGAAAAAAATATCGAGGGTGTCTCAGATGAGGGCGGGATAGGACTGTGATGTCGATTAAATAAAAAATGACTTTGTTTTATTTTTGACATTACTGATGCTTACTTTTCAATAATAACAATATAACAATAATAAATAGCGTTAAGGAAACCATTTATACGACAATCCCAAGATAAATCAAACTAACAAAAATAGAAAACATATAAAAGCAGGAGGAAGGAAAAAAAAACAAATAAGAAAAATTAGCAAAACTTTATTTCGTTCAAGTGAGAAACATATCATTAATTGTTCAAGTAATTTCTAGCCACTCCCAGAATGCTGTTTAAACTGTGAATATCACAACAAATAGATATGGCGTTAAAAGTATCACTCATTGCATATATGGGGGCTTTCAAAAATACGTTTGTGCGAACCCTGTCACAATAAGAGATTTTAACGGTACGAGTTTGAATGGATGGGACATTAAAGTTTAGTTGAATCACAACCTCATTAGCATCAATTTGATCGTCCAGCAGTTTATGCAAGAAAATAATTGACGCACACTTCCTTCTCAACTCTAAAGACTGTTAATTACCGATGCATATTCCAATTTCGATCGACATATGCAGAATACAAAGCCAACAGCGACTCTGGGCGGCTGAAGCTTCTGCAGTTTCCCACCGTATGTCCGCGAAGCTTCACTAACCTTTTATGCTATGTGGAGTGAAAAATTAGGTCTATGGTCAAAAACTAGACACGAGTCCTCAAGTCATGGCGATTTAGCTAAACATCCAAAGCCTTACAGCCAATAACCTTGAATAATTTTAAATCGTCCGCAAAGAGGAGTTTATTACAACCTGAATATTGCACAAGGTCATCAATGGCTAAGGTAAAGAATAACGGACCAAGATTTGCACCTTGAGGCACTCCCGATTTAGTTACCTGCTGGTACGACTTGAAGCTATTGAAAGTAGCATATCGCTTTCTTTCGTAAAGATAACTTTGAATTAGTGCTAAAGTTGATGAATTTAATCCATAGTGAGAAAGTTTATTTAAAAGTATGAGATGGTCAAAAATCAGTACATCTAGTTGAGCTTGCCGATCGACACATTCAATAGAGAACTGAATAAAAATTGCTAAATTAGTTACTGTGAATCTCTTAGTAAAAAAAACATGCTGAAAAGGCGACAGAAATCTATGAGCTGCAGAGTAAATCCTATTATGCAATATTATCTCCAGCAATTTGGAGAAATTTGACAGTATTGTCACCGATCTATAGTTTTTAGTATCAGTATTATCCGCTGATTTGAAAATAGGTGTCGCTCTAGATATTTTCCAAATATCAGGAAATGTATTGGTTGCTACAGTGAGATTGAACGTTTCGATAATAGTTTAACAAAGACATGAATACAGTCTTTGACTATGGACGAGGGGATGTTGTCTGGGCCGGCCGTTACTTCATCCTTAAGTTTTTTGGGTACAGCAACAATCTTATATTCGTCAATTTCAAGAGTTTAGTTGACCGTTTGATGGTGGAAAAAATACATTTTTAACCCCCACAGTTATGTTGTGTAGATAGATCATTCTTGATTAATACTTAAGTTAACATAATTTGTGTAACGTTTGACATGCTACTACTTACGTGGTTCATGTCCAAGTCAAAACTCGTAAAACATATAATTAGGTTGAGTCCTACAGCTATTATTATGTTTTGTTAATTTTATGACACGGTAAGTAACTAGTATTTTGCAAACACATCAACAACAGTCGAATAAACGTACTTATAAGCATATTGCCCGTACGTGAAGTCCAAGTGGTTGAACCCGTGGTCCTCTACCAAGAACATTCCTTTAGCGTTCCCTAGCTTGCTGTAAAGTTTCTTGACATCGTTTGTAGCTGCTAACCAGTCGTTCTTACTGTAGATTAAATACACAGGTGCTGTCACTTTGCTCAGTGGATACTCTGGCGGGTCAGGCTTGCCATATTTAGCCAGGTTGATTATGAGGCCGTGGTCATATTGTCGAAAATGTCCAAACACTAAAAGAAAATTCTATGTATACCAGAGTAGCTTCTTACAAAATTAGTTGTTTAGCTAAAAAAGCAGGGCTACTACCTAGCTAGCTCTGATTAGGCTAATGAGTTTGTAGGTCGTATAAAGCTGAATAAACCGACTGTTTTAATCTAAACTCGTGGACAGTTACTTAAAGTTGGCTATAACATGAAGCATTACTGTTCTGTGTACCATATAATATGTTTCCCAAAAAACTATATTCGCATATTAACATTAACATGAACAAAAAGCCTGCTACTAACTCAATCTTTAATTTGCTTGTTATCTTAATTGCATTATATGGAGTTACAACTATATACCTCTAACGCACAGAATTATTTCTTATCTCTCTCATTGTTTAAATTCAGCAAATTTGTATACAGGGTGTCCCAGAAGTCGGCGTCAAGCCGAAACCGGGTGATAGGCAAAGTCATAACAGCTATCAGAAAAATATTTAAAAAAAATGTATGTATGTGTTTTGAAAATTATAGGTCTTTGAAAAAAAGATAGAAATTTCACACCCTACGGCAGTCTGTAAACTCCTGTTACTACAAATATTAACTTTTTTTGGATTTTATTTTTACAATGTAATGATGAATAATGCATCTTCAAACTGGTGTCTCAACCTTACTGCCAACTTTTCTCGTTCAGGAAAAATTGCCACTTATTTCCCAACCAAGTATTCCAAACTAAAACTTTGCTCAACTTCAACTGGCTGTACTGGAAAAAAATGTACTACGAGAGCTTGGCAAGTAACCTTAAAAGTTGGCGCATTTAATAAGGATTTTTCAAAATTTCCTAATTAAACAGCGATTATGAAAAGGCACAAGGACCCTTAAGGATAACTGTTTGGACAACAGTGGGCGTCAAAATGCTGCTGATGATGATTTACCTTTACAGCAAATGCTCAAACTGTTTTCCTTCAGCCGCAATACACGCTCGACATCTTCTTAAAAAAGATCGGGTTATTAAACGAGCGAATCCACGGTTATTAACAAACTCAGCTGCTTTGCCGTAGCACAGCTACATTTTGAATCGGCTTGAAATACACTTTTTCTTTTACAGTTCCCCAGTAAAAAAAATCTAACGGATTCAAATCTGGTGACCGGGCTGTCCACGGTATTGTAGCAGACCGCCCTATCCATCTGCCTGGAAAGTTTTGATCGAGATACTCTCTCACTGAGAGTGCATAGTGCGCTGGGCAGCCATCATGCTGAAACCACATGTCCCTGTAAATACTCAGTGGCACGTCCTCCAATAAATTTTCAAAATGATTTTGCAAAAAAACCTAAATAAACCTCAGCAGTCAAAGTCTCTGGGAACTCAAACGGACCGATTATTTTACCATTTAAAATTCCTGTCCAATGGTTTATCTTGAAGCGATATTGATATTTATCTTCTATTATCAAATGTGGGTTTGCTACGTGCCACTCGTGTAAGTTATGCAGGTTCATGTACCCATCCCTCTTAAATGTGGTCTCATCTGACCATAAAATTTTTTCAAAGAACCGTGGATCTTGACTGTGTCTTTCTAACATTGTGCGACAAAAAGCAACTCGGGGCTCATAAATCCCGGAACAGAAGAGCTTGAACACGCTGTACGTGGTATGGGTGGATCACGTTTTTTTGCAATATTCTATGGGCTGTACTTTTGGGCACACCTGTTGTTAGTTCTATTGCACGCACTGAAGTACTCGGGTCTTCTTCGACAGCTCCTAGCACCACGTCTTCGTAAGGAAGGACAGATCTTCCCTCACCGTGTGATTGGTTTGGTAGTTGGCCCTCTGAGAACAGTAAGCGGTGCACATTTGTGAACACTCGATGATCTGGATGACGAGCTGCATTCGGGTACCTCTCACAGTAAAGTCTCGCTGCAGCACTAGCGTTGCATCTGCATTCCCCATAAATGAGGTGCATGTTAGCATATTCTTGTACGGTGTACACGGACATAGCTGCACTGCACAATCACACTATCAAAGATAGTCTACGGAAAGCAAATGTTGTTTTGAAGGGCAATTAAACAGTCCAAATCCAAATCACAAGCCATCACCAGTCCAGTTCACGAATCCAAAATTAGTAACAGTACGAAATCAACAAGCACGAACATGTAAAGATGCGCAGTAAACAAAGGAGTACTGATCGGTACCAATGTGTGAATAACAAGTAAGTGATGTGCTTCATCCATACCACATACAGCGTGTTCAACCTCTCCTGCCCCGGGATTATGAGCCCCGAGTTGCTTTTTGTCGCACAATGGTAGAAAGTCACAGGAAAGATCCACAGTTCTTTGAAAAAATTTTATGGTCGGATGAGACCACATTTAAGAAAGATGGGTACATGAACCTGCATAACTTACACGAGTGGCACGTAGCAAACCCACATTTGATGAGAGAAGATAAATCTCAATATCGCTTCAAGATAAACCATTGGACAGGAATTTTAAATGGTAAAATAATCGGTCCGTTTGAGTTCCCAGAGACTTTGACTGCTGAAGTTTATTTGGATTTTTTGAAAAATCATGTACAAAATCTATTGCTGGACGTGCCACTGAGTATTTACAGAGACATGTGAATTCAGCATGATGGCTGCCCAGCGCACTATGCACTCTCAGTGAGAGAGTATCTTGATCAAAACTTTCCAGGCAGATGGATAAGGCGGTCTGGTACAATACCGTGGCCAGCCCGATCACCTGATTTGAATCCTTCAGATTTTTTTACTGGGGAACTGTAAAAGAAAGAGTGTATTTCAAGCCGATTCAAAATGTAGCTGAGCTACGGCAAAGACTATTGGAAGCAGCTGAGTTTGTTAATAATCGTAGATTCGCTCGTTTAATAACCCGATCTTTTTTAAGAAGATGTCGAGCGTGTATTGCGGCTGAAGGAAAACAGTTTGAGCATTTGCTGTAAAGGTAAATCATCATCAGCAGCATTTTGACGCCCACTGTTGTGCAAACAGTTATCCTTAAGGGTCCTTGTGCATTATCATAATCGCTGTTTAATTAGGAAATTTTGAAAAATTTTCATCAGTTTTTCTTCAAATAAAAATTGTACATAAGTTAACGATTAATCTTCTAAGTGTTATGCCATCTTGGAATCCTTATTAAATGCGCCAACTTTTAAGGTTACTTGCCAAACTCTCGTAGTGAATTTTTTTCCAGTACAGCCAGTTAAAGTTGGGCAAAGTTTTACTTTGGAATACTTGGTTGGGGAATAAGTGGCAATTTTTCCTGAATGAGAAAAGTTGGCAGTAAGGTTGAGACACCAGTTTGAATATGCATTATTCATCATTACATTGTAAACATAAAATCCAAAAAAAGTTAATATTTGTAGTAACAGGAGTTGACAGACTGCCGTGGGGTGTGAAATTTCTATATTTTTTTCAAAGACCTATAATTTTCAAAACACATACATAAATTTTTTTTAAATATTTTTCTGATAGCTGTTATGACTTTGCCTATCACCCGGTTTCGGCTTGACGTCGACTTCTGGGACACCCTGTATGTAATTTTCAGAATGGATAGGAAAAAGAGGATGCGCAACTAATTTCTAGCTTTGAATCTCAATTAAGAGTATTTGAGACAAGAACCCAATGTAATTATCATCAACGCATACAACTTAGACCTCCAGTAATGCCATCTCAGAAGCAAATTTTACATCACATCATAGCCAAAGATTGATAACAAGCCTCATGACGTTCATGCAACACGTACAACTAAGTGCTAAGATAACATCTTGTAAAAAACCTACATAATGTCCAAAAAAAAAAACAGCATAATGTCAAAAAAAATCGGCATAATGTCACTTTTCAAGATATGTGATACCCGTGCCGGTTCCACCCTAACTACCTACACCTCAAACATGCAATTGCTAAGTAAACATAATATTGACTGTAGACTTGACAGCATAATTTTATTTTCTCAAAAATGCCTCGTCTTTTTCAAACAGAATGTGTAAGATTATTGGGAGAAGGTCGTTAAGTGAATGATGTAGCTCTAGAGCAGTTAAAGGTTTAATAGAGCCTATTTTTTCTTAATCTACATGATGTTCATTATATGTAGCGGTTACTGTTCTATATTTATATGTAATAATATAAGAAAAGTGAGTGGCAACGGGCATGATTGTTGTTGTTGCCAAGTATTTCTCACATACGGAACTTATAATAAATTTATAATATACTTAGGGTAGTTTGAATATATTCATTACTACACGTTCTTTTGTTGTTGCAGAGAGGGTATGTTTAGCTTTGGAAGGGTTGGGGCGAGTCCGGCGAGGGGTGGTGTTTTGCATCGGCGGGCCGAGATCAGCTCTGATTTTGCTGACGACAGCAATTTTTCTGTGGATCACTTAAATATCCGATCATTGAATACAGAGTTTGACGAGTTTTCCTCTTATGCTTCAGAGCTTTCTTTCGACCTACTATGTCTTACCGAAACATAGTTAACCACTGAAGATCATAGTTATAGTTATACCCTGCCAGGGTATAGACTAATAAGGCGTGTGCTATATACTTAAAAAAAATATTAAACCAACAAAATTAAATTTGGACATCCCTCTACTAGATGAAAATTTTGAATTCGTTGGTATTCGCTTTCGAATTAATAATAAAACTTGGTTATTAATTAATATTTACCGACCTCCTTCCGGTAACATTGCTGCTTTTTTGGTTACATTTGAGGACATGCTCGGTGTAGTTGCTGTTGGCTATGACTGTCTGGTCATCACAGGAGGTTTTTAACATTGATTTTTTGAATGAATCTTACCACACCAGGTGTTTTAAAAATATATTGCAGTCATTCAATCTTTCTCAAAAAATATCTGAGCCAACTAGGTATGATATGTTGACATCGCACTCTACTATGATTGAAGTCATTATTGTAAGTGAAAATTTACTAACAGTTAAATACCAATAGACGAGAATATAACAGACCATAATTTTGTTTATTCCATCTTTAACATTCCAAAAATAAACAGTTCTCAAAAATATGTCACTTATCGTGATTATAATAATATACGTCATTTCTCTATGATGGTATGCAGCTTCCGTGGAATAATATTTACTATTGTACCAATGTAGATGAAAAGGTAAAAATATTTAATAAACATATTTTAACAATCATTATTAATAAACATGCTCTCCTAAAAACAAGAAAAATTAAGATAGAAAAGCCGTTTCTTCCCTCGTTATCATAAGCCTTTGATAAAAATGAGAGGTAAACCCATAAAAAATACTTATGATCTAAGGCCCGTATCGTCCGTCGTCCCTACAATTAATTGTAGGGCGCCCTTATGGCCTCCTTGATTGTCATAGTTTTCTACTTCTCCGTGTCAGCGCTCTATTTTGAGGTTATGTCACAAACATCTACTTGCATCAAATTGTGCTTGCTTTTGAGTTATATCATGTTTTATCAGCCTGAAATTTCCTACAATTTAAAAAGAAAGCATATCTTTACAATAGGAGAGCACTGACGCTGACACGGGACAAGTGTAATTTAGAAATTTTTGAAGGAAAGAAAGGAGTATGACAATCAAGGAGGCCATAAACGCGCCCTACAATTGTAGGGACGACTGACGATACGGGCCTAAAAGAGATCAGCATCTTAGGCCCGTATCATCAGTCGTCCCTACAATTGTAGGGCGCCCTTATGGCCTCCTTGATTGTCACAGTTTTCTACTTCTCCGTGTCAGCGCTCTATTTTGAGGTTATGTCACAAACATCTATTTGAATCAAATTGTGCTTGCTTATGAGTTATATCATGTTTTATCAGCCTGAAATTTCTTACAATTTAAAAACAAAACATACCTTTACAATAGGAAAGCACTGACGCTGACACGGGACAAGTGTAATCTAGAAATTTTTGAAGGAGAGAAAGGAGTATGACAATCAAGGAGGCCATAAACGCGCCCTACAATTGTAGGGACGACTGACGATACGGGCCTTAGATATTACAGACAACTAAAAAATTCCACTAAGGACGCTATTTTCCGCGAAAAGGTTGCCTATTTCAATCAACTAGCATGAAAGGAACAAGATGATTTTTGGAAAGCAGCGCGAAGGCTTAATCTGAACCGCCAGAGGACTTTTACTGAACTTCCTGATAATCTCTTAAATCCATATGAGATACATGATTTTTTCAGATGACTGATAACCTGCCAGACACTGCATCATTAAGCTTAATCAGTTTTTGTGAAAGTAATAAAGCTGTAAACCATAATTTGGAATTTCATTTGATAGATTGGAACAGACTAATAAAAATTGTTAATTCCATTTCATCAGGTGCGATTGGCGAGGATGGCATATCCATCAAAGACATAAAACTGTGTGTTCCTTTCTGCGCAATTGCATTGATTAACATTATTAACACATGTCTTTTGGAAAAGATTTACTCTTCTGTTTGGAAAAAGGTTATTGTGAAACCCATATCAAAGGATGGCAATTAGTGTTTTGTCCTCGGTGTCGAAACTTATACAGGGTGTTTCAGTTTATTGTTGCATAACTTTAAGATTCGATAGAACTGTTAAAATTAATGCATAAAGTCTATATAAACATGGGTCGAAAAATGCGTGGCTTCCGAAATACAGGGTGTTTAAATTTACTTTCTAAAATAGTTTTTTTTAAATATTTCGAACAATATTTGATGTATAACAGTGAAAATTGGTATACAAGGGTTTTTTGGCACGACAAAACGAACCATGGGCATAGTTTTACTGTAGCCGCTAGAGGGCGCTCTCTGCTGTACCTGTAGTGTATTAAAATGACCGAAAATATTTTCTTAGTGCAATTTTTTGCTTTTTGAATAAAAAGACTGATTCTCCGCACTTTTCAACATAAAAAAGCTCTCTTGTGAATTTTCGTTGTAGCCGTTTTTGAGATATTTCGATTTTTAAGGTTCGATGCATTTTTAATTATTTATGATAAAATAACGTTAAAAAGTCAATATCTCGATAATTTTTAGAAGTAGGCTGTGCCTGCAAATATTTTTGAAATCGAATGCAGAATCAGGTTAAACGTCAATTAGTTGACAGTTAGTTTTGTTGTCCGTTGAAACCTGAAACGTTTTTTTGCAATTGTGAATGCACGAAATTTAGTTTCTTTTACCTGTTTTTTTTTTGTAAGTTTTATAAAAATGCCATTTTTATTCTCCAATCAAGAGTTAGCGGATATTCATTTTGTGTATGGCTTTGTAAATGGAAACGCAGCAGAAGCAGCCAGAGAATACGCACGAAGATTTCCAAACGGACGACATCCAACTCGCTCAGTATTTGTAAGAGTGCATCGCCAAATAATTGAAAATGGTTTTGGAAATCTCCAAAGGGATCAAAACATAATGGGCATAGTTTTACTGTAGCCGCTAGAGGGCGCTCTCTACTGTACCTGTAGTGTATTAAAATGACCGAAAATTTTTTCTTTGTGCAATTTTTTGCTTTATGAATAAAAAAAATGATTATTCGCACTTTTCTGCATAAAAAAGCTCTCCTGTGAGTTTTCGTTATAGTTTTAGCCGTTTTTGAGATATTTCGATTTTTAAGGTTCCATGCATTTTTAATTATTTATGGGAAAATAATATTTTTTCTTTTACATTTTCGATTTGGGCATTACAAGCAATTAAGATAATCGTTTAGATCGTGTTTTTAAACACAGCAATAATTCCTAACTCTAAATAAACACAAAAAACCGGAATATTAATTTGTTTAATTTTCCAATATTATTTTTAACAAATTAAATTAATTATTTACAACTAAAATTCCATTCGATAGTTAGGACAAACATACAAAATCTAAAGTAGTTGCTCGAAATGTAAACCCAATTGTTCAATACACAATTCACATCTACGTATAGGGGCTTATTTCATCACATGCATTCCTGATTCTGTCTATTAGCATATCTCTTGTGGTTACGGGAGTCTGGTACACTTTCTCTTTTAGCTAGTTATCTAGAAAACGACGACATATGCAGCAGAACACATACGAGTGGTCTGTGACGTTGAAATTATGGTCTCAAAACGTTTGAAATTAAGTGTTCGAATAAACTACAAAGCTCATGCATAAATGCTAATTGAAATAATATTCCACCACGAAATTATTATTATTATTAGGAATACGGCCTAGATGGTGAGCCACTTCAGCCTAGATAGCTACCTTAATAGCTGTCATTTATGTCAAGCCCTTGACGCGAAGCCGTCTTGAGAGTTAGGTGTAAACGTAAGCAATAAAGTCAATGCCTGTAATGGCAACATGCTCCGGTAAAAGCAACATAAGACAATCGTGTTATTCGGTGCGTTTCCAACGCAAGGACGATACACCAATAATCCATTTATCCCGTGCACTGTGAGGCAAACTAGAGCTTAGATTAGCAGTGACTATCACAACCGCGGCAATGCTCACCCTGGCTATTGGCTAAGCGCTTGTTTCAGCCGTCACCGTTACATAGCGCTGTGAACGCGTGGAATAACACGTTTTGTGGCTAACGCAGTGCTCTTTAATACACTGCACGATCTTCGTTACTAACTGACCTGTAGGTATTTCCTGTCCGTAATGCAGGAGTTGTCTTGTGGATGCACCAGCTGGTGTATAAGCCATCATTTTGGCAAACAGCGTGCTGTTCATTTCTCCAGGACTGAAACCGCAGATAGCGAACAATGAGTTCTCACATAGGATCCGGGTGATTCCAGTGGTACAAAATAGCTTGCCAAAAGCCGAGAAGACTTTGCTTGGTAGGAACTCGTTCATCCCTATAAGACTAAAGAGCGCCTGGGGGGACAGAAAAATGCATTATTTTTCAGAATAAATCCTGATGGTATCAAGATACTTGATAGAATTCTTCCGTCATATGCGAGCAACCTCGATACACATATGGACGTATGTGTGAATGGACGAGAGAACGGATGGATGAATGGATGGTTGGATGGTTGATGGATTACACGGTTAGACGGTTAAATAGTTGGATAATTGGATGGTTCGGTAGTTGGATGGTAGAATGGTTGGATGACTGGATAGTTGGATAGTTGAGTGGCCGACTGAATCGGTGATCGGATGGACGGATGAAAGGACAGACGGAGGTATGGATGGATGGATCAATAGATTAATGAATGGATGAATGTACGGATGCATGAACGTATGAATGAACGGATGAATAAATGGATTAATGAACGGATGAATGAACGAATGAATGAACAGATTAATGAGGGAGGAATGAACGGATGAATGTACGGAGGAATGAACGAATGAATGAACGGATGAATAAATGGATGAATGACGGATGAATGAACGTAGGAATAAACGGATGAATGAACGGATGAATAAATGGATGAATGAACGGATGAATGACGGAGGAACGAACGAATGGATGAACGGATGAATGAACGTAGGAATGAAAGTATGAATGAACGGATAAATAACTGGATGAATGAACGGACGAATAAACGAATGAATGAACGGACGAATGAGCGAGGAATGAACAGATGAATGAACGGTGGAATGATCGGATGAATGAACGGGTGAATGAACGGATGAATGACGGAGGAATGAATGGATGAATAAACGGAGGAATGAACAGATGAATGAACGGAGGAATGAAAGATGAATAAATGGATGAATGAACGGATGAATGAACGGCTGAATGACGGAGTAATGTACGGATGAATGAACGGAGGAATGAACGGATGAATAAACGGATGACTGAACGGATTAATAAATGGATGAATGAACGGATGAATGAACGAATGAATGAACGAATGAATGAACGGATGAATGAACGGAGGAATGAACGAATGAATGAACGGAGGAATGAACGGATGAATGAAAGGAGGAATGAACGGATGAATTAACGTATGAATGAACTGATGAATGAATGGATGAATAACTGGATGAATGAACGGATGAATGAATGAATGAATGAGGGAGGAATGAATGGATGAATGAACGGAGGAATGAACGGATGAATGAACGGATGAATGACGGAGGAATGAACGGATGAACAAACGGAGTAATGAATCGATAAATGAACGGATGAATAAATGGATGATTGAACGGATGCATGAACAGATGAATGACGAAGGAGCGAACGTATGAATGTACAGAGGAATGAACGGATGAATGAATGGATGAATGAACAGATGAATAAACGGATGAATGAATGTATGAATTAACGGATGAATGAACGGAAGAATTAACGGATGAATAAATGGATGAATGAACGGATGAATGAACGGATGAATGTGGGAGGAATGAACGGATGAATGAACGGAGGAATGAACAGAAGAATGAACGTATGAATAAATGAATGAATGAACAGATGAATGACGGGGGAATGAACGGATGAATAAATGGATGAATGAACGGATGAAAGACGGAGGAACGAACGAATGATTGAACGGAGGAATGAACGGATGAATGAATGGATGAATAAATGGGTGAATGAACGGATGAATGACGGAGGAATGAACGGAGGAATGAGCGTATGAATGAACGGATGAATGAACGGGAGATTTAACGGATAAATGAACGGATGAATAAATGGATGAATGAACGGACGAATGAACGGCTGAATGACGGAGAAATGAAAGGATGACTGAACGGATGAATGAACGGATAAATCAACAGATGAATAAACGGATGGATGAGTGGATGAATATTCCACTCTAGATTTTGGTTCCTATCTCTTTGCGGCAGAACTTCTACATGCTCACAATGAATTATGGACATTTTTAGCCTTTAGTATGATATCTTGGTCCTTGATGGATCAATTGAATTCAACATAACAGGGGCAGGTGTTAAATATACTCAATGCGGTTTTGAAAACATTAGGCTGTTTAAAAGGTACTTGGTTAGCAATCCGCAGGAATAAGGTGCTGGCTAAAATACTCACATCAGCTGGTTTACTCCACCAAGCAATCATCCTTAGAAGAGGGCTGGTCATATGGTTCATGTACGCAATAGGAGCCATACTGACATGTACTTTGATTTTCTGATTGTACTCTGGTCTCAGCGAACCCATCACAAAGAATGAGGTTGTGCCCTAGAAGCACGTATCGTTATGACTCTGGATTTTAGTATATCAACGAATCTAAAAGCATATGCTGTAACCAATCAAAAGCTTGGCTGCAATCGTAAAAACAAGAAACAGCTGCAATTTTTGGAAGTCAAGGCGACATCGTCAAATCTTCAGCTGTGAAAATGATTACCCGATAAATTCTTTAATAGCTCACAGCTACAATGCTTTTCTACCAATTACCTGGGAGTGCCCACTGTAGTAAACTGCATCAACACCAGTTTGATTCAGCACGTAATCAATCATAGCTGGTAGATCTATGACGCCCATCTCATGCCAGTCGAATTTCCAAAACTTTGCACCCCAGTTTGGGTTGAGATGTGTATGGTTCCTGGAATATCTGTTCCCTCTGAAGTTTCCTAGCCATACGTCGTAGCCTTCATCTGCTAAGATGTAACCTATAATATTCGTTCACGTTTATATTCAACACAGACAATTAATAACCAATATTCATCGCGCTTGGGCATTTTCTGCTGATCTGCCAACTACATATTGTCGGTGGCGCATATTGAGCTAACGCGGTCTTTTTTTAAGAATTCTTATTTAGCTTTAAGCTACTTTCAGAATCTGAAAACTTTGTAAAGTTGACCATAAATTATTATTAGACACATGGGAGATAGTTGGATTTCGGATAAAAATGTAATCATTACTGGAAAATTACTTATCCAACAGACGATAATCCGTTAAGATATCAAAATTTTCCAGCAACGAAATGCTTATCAAATGCGGCGTACCACAGGGAACCGTTTTGGGTCCACCGCTTTTTAATATACAGGGTGTTTCAGTTTATTGTTGCATAATTTTAAGATTCTATAGAACTTTTAAAATTAGTGTATAAAGTCTATATACACATGGGTCGAAAAATGCGTGGCTTCCGAAATACAGGGTGTTTAAATTTACTTTCTAAAATAGTTTTTTTTTAATATTTCTAACAATATTTGATGTATAATAGTGAAAATTGGTATACAAGGGTTTTTTGGTACGAAAAAACGAACCATGGGAATGGTTTTACTCTATCCGCTAGAGGGCGCTCTCTACTGTACCTGAAGTGTATTAAAATGACCGAAAAAATTTTCTTAGTGCAATTTTTTGCTTTTTGAACAAAAAAACTGATTCTTCGCACTTTTCAACATAAAAAAGCTTTCTTGTGAATTTTCGTTATAGTTAGCCGTTTTTGAGATATTTCGGTTTTTAAGGTTCGATGCATTTTTAATTATTTATGATAAAATAACGTTAAAAAGTCAGTATCTCGATAATTTTTAGAAGTAGGCTGTGCCTGCAAATATTTTTGAAATTGAAAGCAGAATAAGGTTAAACGTCAATTAGTTGACAGTTAGTTTTCTTGCCTGTTGAAACCTGAAACGTTTTTTTGCAATTGTGAATGTACGAAATTTAGTTTCTTTTACCTGTTTTTTTTTGTAAGTTTTATAAAAATGCCATTTTTATTCTCCAATTAGCGGATATTCATTTTGTATATGGGTTTGTAAGTGAAAACGCAGCACAAGCAGCCAGAGAATACGCGCGAAGATTTCCAAACAGACGACATCCAACTCGCTCAGTATTTGTAAGAGTGCATCGCCAAATAATTGAAAATGGTTTTGGAAATCTCCAAAGGGATCAAAACATAAATGTTCGTCAGCGCAGATTTACCCGTATGATTCTGCGTGAGTTTGATAGAGATCCGACCACAAGTGTTAGGAGAGTTTCTGGTGCCTTGGGAATTTCAGCAAGCCATGTTCACCGTGTTCTTATAAATGACCATAGAAGGCCTTACCATTTGCAACCTGTGCAAGGACTACAGCCAGGAGACGGAGAACGAAGAATCACATTTTGTTAGTGGATTGTTGATAGAACTGATAATAATAGGGAGTAACATTTTGTGGACCGATGAGTCATGCTTCACTAGACGTGGAGTGGTAAATTTTCATAATCAACATATTTGGTCGCATGAAAATCCGCATGCAGTTCGGGAAAGAAATTTTCAGCATGAATTTAGTGTGAACGTGTGGATTGGTATCTAGCGTAATCGACTATTTGGACCCTACCTTTTGCCTGCAAGGTTAAATGCTGCGACCTTCTTGGAATTTTTAAAGGCTGAACATACAAATATGAGGGATGATGTTATGTTAGATTTAAGAAGATTGGCCTGTTTCCAGCTTGATGGTTGTCCAGCTCATTATTCGAGAATAGTTAGAAACTGGCTGGACGAACAGAAAGATGGATCGGCCGTGGAGGACCAGTCGCCTGGCCTCCACGATCCCCTGACCTAAATCCATTAGATTTCTTTGTGTGGGGATTTCTAAAAGAAAAAGTGAACCAAACCCCGTAACCACAAGAGATATGCTAATAGACAGAATCAGGAATGCATGTGATGAAATAAGGCCTTATTTGAATAATGCTATACTACGTTCGATAATTCGTAGATGTGGATTGTGTACTGAACAATTGGGTTTACATTTCGAGCAACTAATTTAGATTTCGTATGTTTGTCCTAACTATCCAATAGCGTTTTAGTTGTAAATAATTAATTTAATTTGTTAAAAATAATATTGGAAGATTAAACAAATTAATATTCTGTTTTTTTGTGTTTAATTGGAGTTAGGAATTATTGCTGTGTTTAAAAACACAATCTAAACGATCATCTTAATTACTTGTAATGCCCAAATCGAAAATGTAAAAAAAAATATTATTTTTCCATAAATAATTAAAAATGCATCGAACCTTAAAAATCGAAATACCTCAAAAACGGCTAACTATAACGAAAACTGACAGGAGAGCTTTTTTATGTTGAAAAGTGCGAAGAATCAGTAGAGAGCGCCCTCTAGCGGCTATAGTAAAACTTTGCCCATGGTTCGTTTTGTCGTACCAAAAAACCCTTGTATACCAATTTTCACTGTTATACATCAAATATTGTTCGAAATAGTTAAAAAAAAACTATTTTAGAAAGTAAATTTAAACACCCTGTATTTCGGAAGCCACGCATTTTTCGACCCATGTTGATATAGACTTTATGCAGTTCTATCGAATCTTAAAGTTATGCAACAATAAACTGAAACACCCTGTATATTTATATGATATATTTCAAATTGACTGGGTGGGCAAAATATTAAGCAGTTCTTTATAAAGGTGTTTGGTCTGATTTAAAAAGCATAGTTGAAAATTAGTATGTCAAGTGGCTTAATAACAGAAAAATTACAATTTTACAATTAATTTAAAATATTTTTGTACCATTTTTTTCCTATTCCAGACATCTAACAAACATTTTCTTTATGATAAATAATCAGTAAATTAACAGAGCATCAGATATAAAATACCTTGCAATGTTCTTGAATTCATACTTGCGTTGGGATGTTTAAATTTCATATATTTTAGAAAAAGTTGGCTATGTCTCGGACAAAATTGAATACATCAAAAACATTTTAAAAGAAATATCTCTCTATACTTTATACCATACCCTGATTAAGCTACAATAACCTACAGTATTTATGATTAGGATATTCTTCAAAAAACGAATCTAAAAACAATGTTCACCATACCAAAACTGTAACCAAGTATCTTATACAAAGATATACATGTTACGAGTCTATAACTTAAAACAGCTTTACCTCTTACATGCTATAACCGAATATCACAGAATTACTGAAAGCGACCAAAAAATTAAACACAATCCCGCACAGGGCGTAAACTAAGAGGAACAGTTGTACCGAGACCAAATAAATCTATAACATAACGGTCATACCTTCATGTAGGTCCAAATTATACTAAGTGACATATAAATCCGAACACCCAGTTTAAATGGTTTTATTTTAATAAAATTTTGTATAAGTACTTAATGAAGCATAATAAGTAAATGATAAAAATTTCAAAATGATTGCACTGCTTTGAAGCCCATTGACCTTTAATGATGTGTGGATGCACCCTGATGTGCTACGCATTCTCCAACGCGCCTAGGCATGCTTCTGATCAGGTGGTCAATGTCCTCCTGTTGTATCTCATTCCAGGCAACCACCAACTCCTCTCGAAGTGCTTCTAGAGTCTGAGGAGGACGTTGCAAATTGAGCAATCTCCTACCCATCATATCCCACACGTGCTCAATTGGGGATAAGTCGGGAGATATTGGTGGCCCTGGTAACAATGTGACATCATTATGTTGAAAGAAGTCTATTGTGACTCTTGCAACATGTGGTCGGGCATTATCTTGTTGGAAAGTTGGATCTGCCAGGGTGTCAAGATAGGGTAAAAGATGGGGTTCTAGAACTTCGTGGATATAACGCTGCGCGTTCATGTTACCTCTGATGAAGATTAAATGTGACCTGGAACCATAAGCTATAGCAGCCCAAACCATAACTCCAACAGATGAACATGTCTTTCAACAAAAAACTGTGGATTCCTCCTTTCACCACGTCGCCTTCTAACCCTGGCACGACCAAAATCGAGACTCGTCACTAAAGACAATACTGTTCCATTCCTGATCCCAGAGTGACAGTTGTCTGCACCACTCAAGGCGATTACGTCGGTGTTCTCGAGTTAAAGGGAGGACCCAGTGTGGCCGGTATGAAAACAAGCCAAAACTTCTCATTCGTCGGAAAACACTTCGCATGCCAATAGGTCTTCCGTGTTCTGCAAACCATTCATTTGCAATGGACCTGGTGGTGGAGAAACGGTCCCTTAAGGCCAATAATCTTAGGCGGCGATCTTCACGGTCTGTTGTTCTACGGCGGAGTCCAGTGCCCCTTGCTCTTTGCGTACGGCCTTCTCAAAGCCATGCCTGACAACACCTAACCACAGTGTCTACACTTCTTTGCACTCTAACTGCAATTGCCCGAAAAGAAAGTCCAGCTTCCCGAAGTCCCACTATACGGCCCCTATCAAACTCACTAAGTTGACGAAATCGAACAGGTCTCGGTACCCTAGGCATCGTAACCGATCGTAAAGGATGTCAAGAATCAAAATCCGCCAACGTTGATTCTTTACTGCGGCTGAAATATTCATTTTCAGAGCGTTAGTGAATTAAAAAAAGTAGTATAAAAAACCGGAATGTCCAACTGATAAGGCTGAAAATTTGTTCACTTGTTATTTACAGTAAGATAAATACATTCACCAACTTTTATTAAGATAAAACCATTTAAATTGGGTGTTCGGATTTATATGTCACTTAGTATATATGTAAATTTACCTGTCGATATAAAGGGTGTACGCATTGGGGATAATTTCAAATTAAAGTTAAAAGACTGGATTTTTTTTTCTGGCTAGACCAGACCTACACAAATTAATAGTAAATGTTATCATCCAATAATATGTACAAAATTGCAACATCAGTGGTACAGGTGCAGAAATGAATCAACATGAAAAATTAATGTTATTTTGCTTTATAAACTATGGTCCAAAAATGTTTCCTTACAAATCTCGGGGTGTTGAAGATTTAGGAAAAAAATGGAAATTAATTCATATTTTCAAAACCGCTTCAGATATTTCACTGATATTCACTACGTAGTGAAAGTTAATAAACATGCATAATTTTCAATGCAAACATAATTTTTAGCTTTAACAGTGGCGTGCGTACGGGTGTTGACTTCGATGCTTTTTAAGAAAGAAATGGAAATGGAAAATATGCAACTTTATTAACTTTCACTACGTACTAAATATCAGAGAAATATCTGAAGCGGTTCTGAAAATATTAATTAATTTCCATTTTTTTTTTCCTAAAACTTCAACACCCAGAGTTTTTGGAACATAGTTTATAAAGCAAACCAGCATTAATTTTTCATGTAGATTCACACCCTTAAGTATTCGCAAATCCTTAAGAAACACCCTATATATATTGTGCTTTAAAAGCAAATAAATATTATTATTATCCAATCAAAGAATAACTTCTTGTAAAGAAAAGCAAGAAATCACAGTCGTGCATAAAACACATATCAGATGCATTTGTGTCACAATACCTACCAAGTGCTTTTCCTGGTCCAGAAATGACCATATCAGCGGATGATGTTAACAATCCATGCTGAAGGAAAGCAACTTTTCCGTTCCTTTTACCATTTCGACCATGTGGTATACGATGTACGTTCAAAATATACCCATCTTCGGTAGTGACGTAATGATTTTCAGCTGGATAGCCATCGCTTCTGATTAAATCAACCTAAAAGAATGACAAGGTTGTAGATTGCTAAGGACACATATGCTGGTGGATTCATTATAGTATGTAAAAGCTACACTAAGTTGAGAAGATACTTTTAGGAAACTTGTTTCCTACAAGCAATCATCATGAAAGGGAGAGAAAAATACAGGGATACAACAGAAATGGTTACAAAATCGATGTTTGATACGCTGCTTCAGAATTTGTAAGGTATTTGCTATATTGCATAGCAAATATAAAGCGTATACCTGAAGAGTTGAGGTCAAGCTGCCATTGAGCAAAATCCACTAAAATAAAGTGATCCAAAGGTGCAACCCTTCTACGCTGAATAACTAGACAACAAATTTTAGTTTTTTAATTGTATCTTGTGGAAAAAGTGCACTTCTTTGTTAATTTTGGGGCGCTGAATCAAAAAATGACAATGAAATAAAAAAATTAGTTGCGGTTTAGAAAAAAACTTTTTATTTTTAAGGATATATTAAAAAAAGTAACAAGATTCATACTTATAAGAATCACTATATGCGCTGTCTTTTTGCTGTTCTTTTATGGATCGTTTCTGGAGCATCTCTACCAAGAGTCCAACAGTAATCTGCAAGCATGGAAGGATTCCAATTTCCCTGGTACCTTTTTTCCATTGTTGAAATATCCTGATGAAAACGTTCGCCGTGCTCATCACTTACGGCTCCGCAATTGTCAGGAAAACAGCCCAGGTGTGAGTAGGAAATGTATCTTAAGAGTCATTACAGCCCATCTTTTGATACGATGACAGCATATTTTTGACAAGGGTTTTATAGTTGTCAGCTTTTCTATTTCCCAAGAAATTAGTGACCACCAGACGGAAATCATTCCAAGCAGTTTTTTCAATACCTGTTAAAGTGTTTTCAAACTGTGTATCTTTCAAAATATTTCGAATCTGTGGCCCAACAAAAATACCTTCTTTAACCTTTGCCTCACTTAGTCTTGGAAATTTCTGACGCAGGTATTTAAAAGCTGACCCATCTCTATCTAATGCCTTGACAAAGTTTTTCATTAGGCCCAACTTGATATGCAGTGGTGGTAATAAAATTTTTTTCGAATCTAGTAATGGCATATGCTGTACATTTTTTTGACCTGGCTCTTGGAATTGACGAACAGGCCAGTTTTGTCTGGTGTAATGAAGTGCCTTTGCCCGACTGTCCCATTCACACAAAAAACAGCAAAACTTTGTGTAGCCTAGCTGCAGCCCAAGTAAAAGTGCAATAACTTTCAAATCGCCACAAATATGCCATTGGTGCTCATCGTATTTTATGCATGTCAATAGGTACTTCATATTGTCATATGATTCTTTCATGTGAACTGCATACCCTACAGGAAGAAATGGTAAAATATTTCCAATATGCAATAACACTGCCTTTAAACTCAATGTTGGACTGTCTATAAACAATCTCCATTCTTCTGGGTTATAGTTTATATTTAAAGCCGCCAGTAAGCCGTTAATGTTACTGCAGAAAACCAAGTTATTATCCATATTGAAAAATGGTTCTAAGTCTTTGTGGCGTTTACGAAAAACACATACCGAAACATCTTCTTCTAACAAGTTCCGCTGCTGCAGTCGTGATCCAAGTAACTCTGCCTTACATTTTGGAAGTTCTAAATCTCTTACAAGATCATTTAATTCTGACTGTGTTATTTTGTGCGGTTGGTGGCATGACGTGCTCGGTATAAAATCAGGATCTCTTGACGTTGATGGCATATCTTCTTCCTGACGAATCACTCGATCGCCATGATCTGATTCGTTTTCTGATTCGCAAGTGTAGGATTCTGGGGGTTTTGGAATAGGATTTTCGTCACTGTGAGGCACAGGTCTCATCGCAGATGGTATGTTTGGGTAGTTAATAACCGATTTTTTTTTCTTGGACATACCTGTGGCTTGTCCAACACAAGGTACCATGCAAAAGTAACAATCATTAATATGATTTGTAGGCTCTCTCCAAACCATTGGGACAGCAAAGCGCATAGACCGTTTTTTGCCATTTAACCAGCTCCTCAGACTTGAAGCACATGTATTACAGCAGATGTGGGGTGCCCACTGTTTGTCTTGATCACCTAGTTTACAACCGAAATAAAGCTGATATGCCTTTGTTATTAGTGGAGTAATAGACCGTCTCTGAGACGCAAAAGTCACATCACCACACACGTAACAAAACTGATCTGGATTGTTTACACACTTTCGAGACATCTTGCATGAACGCTGTTAGCCAACTGAGGAAAAAATGGCTAATATAAAACAATATAATGTACACGTATGTATAACGTAACACAATCATGCCGATTACATCATCTTTCCTTGCCGAATATAAAAATGTAGCACGTGCATTCTTGTGAATTACAATATATTAACACTGTCACAGTAGGAACACATATAATAGTAATATTTTGTTGATTTTATTTAGGATATTTTTTGGCTGTTGATCAGTGATATCAGTAGCCATGGGATCGCTTTGTCAGTTTGCAAAGCTATTCCACGGCGACTGCTCTTCACCACAAAATCGCTGTACGTTGGCTGATCATGCCCATTGATTAATACTCGGATGACTGTTATTTGTTTCCGTCATTGCACCTATACAAATTTGGGCTGAGATGAAGGCCAAGTAGAAGATCCAACTTTCAGAACCAATTCAGAAGCTCAATGTTAGAATGATAATGAGAATGATCAAGAACTAGGGTATGCATATACCCAAGACACTCAAAATCTAATTGGTTATCATCAATAACACTGGACAACAAATTTTAGTTTTTTAATTGTATCTTGTGGGAAAAGTGCACTTCTTTGTTAATTTTGGGGCGCTGAATCCAAAAATGACAATGAAATAAAAAAATTAGTTGCGGTTTAGAAAAAAACTTTTTATTTTTAAGGATATATTAAAAAAAGTAACAAGATTCATATACTTATAAGAATCACTATATGCGCTGTCTTTTTGCTGTTCTTTTATGGACCGTTTCTGGAGCATCTCTACCAAGAGTCCAACAGTAGTCTGCAAGCATGGAAGGATTCCACTTTCCCTGGTACCTTTTTTCCATTGTTGAAATATCCTGATGAAAACGTTCGCCGTGCTCATCACTTACGGCTCCGCAATTGTCAGGAAAAAAGTCCAGGTGTGAGTGTAGGAAATGTATCTTAAGAGACATATTACAGCCCATCTTTTGATACGATGACAGCATATTTTCGACAAGGGTTTTATAGTTGTCAGCTTTCCTATTTCCCAAGAAATTAGTGACCACCAGACGGAAATCATTCCAAGCAGTTTTTTTTGATACCTGTTAAAGTGTTTTCAAACTGTGTATCTTTCAAAATATTTCGAATCTGTGGCCCAACAAAAATACCTTCTTTAACCTTTGCCTCACTTAGTCTTGGAAATTTCTGACGCAGGTATTGAAAGCTGACCCATCTCTATCTAATGCCTTGACAAAGTTTTTCATTAGGCTCAACTTGATATGCAGTGGTGGTAATAAAATTTTTTTCGAATCTACTAATGGCATATGCTGTACATTTTTTTGACCTGGCTCTAGGAATTGACGAACAGTCCAGTTTTGTCTGGTGTAATGAAGTGCCTTTGCCCGACTGTCCCATTCACACAAAAAACAGCAAAACTTTGTGTAGCCTAGCTGCAGCCCAAGTAAAAGTGCAACAACTTTCAAATCGCCACAAATATGCCATTGGTGCTCATCGTATTTTATGCATGTCTATAGGTACTTCATATTGTCATATGATCCTTTCCTGTGAACTGCATACCCTACAGGAAGAGATGGTAAAATATTTCCAATATGCAATAACACTGCCTTTAAACTCAATGTTGAACTGTCTATAACCAATCTCCATTCTTCTGGGTTATAGTTTATATTAAAAGCCGCCAGTAAGCCGTTAATGTTACTGCAGAAAACCAAGTTATTCTCCATATTGAAAAATGGTTCTATGTCTTTGTGGCGTTTACGAAAAACACATACCGAAGCATCGTCTTCTAACAAGTTCCACTGCTGCAGTCTTGATCCAAGTAACTTTGCCTTACATTTTGGAAGTTCTAAATCTCTTACAAGATCATTTAATTCTGACTGTGTTATTTTGTGCGGTTGGTGGCATGACGTGCTCGGTATAAAATCAGGATCTCTTGACGTTGATGGCATATCTTCTTCCTGACGAATCACTGGATCGCCATGATCTGATCCGTTTTCTGATTCGCAGGTTTACGATTCTGGGGGTTTTGGAATAGGATTTTCGTCACTGTGAGGCACAGGTCTCATCGCAGATGGTATGTTTAGGTAGTTAATAACCGATTTTTTTTTCTTGGACATACCTGTGGCTTGTCCAACATAAGGTACCATGCAAAAGTAACAATCATTAATATGATTTGTAGGCTCTCTCCAAACCATTGGGACAGCATAGCGCATGGACCATTTTTTGCTATTTAACCAGCTCCTCAGACTTGAAGCACATGTATTACAGCAGATGTGGGGTGCCCACTGTTTGTCTTGATCACCTAGTTTACAACCGAAATAAAGCTGATATGCCTTTGTTATTAGTGGAGTAATAGACCGTCTCTGAGACGCAAAAGTCACATCACCACACGCGTAACAAAACTGATCTGGATTGTTTACACACTTTCGAGACATCTTGCATGAACGCTGTCAGCCAACTGAGGAAAAAATGGCTAATATAAAACAATATAATGTACACGTATGTATAACGTAACACAATCATGCCGATTACATCATCTTCCCTTGCCGAATATAAAAATGTAGCACGTGCATTCTTGTGAATTACAGTATATTAACACTGTCACAGCAGGAACACATATAATTACCGTATCTCTAAAACTTGAACTAATATTGAAAAAATAAGTTTCATTCCGGTTTTAGCACATTAAAAATAGTAATCTTTTGTTGATTTTATTTAGGATATTTTTTGGCTGTTGATCAGTGTAATATATCACTGGGTTTTTCGCATCATAAAACGTTACATCACAAAGGTAACTTCCTCTTTCGGGTTAAGATTGATGTTACAGTTACCCGGAGAAGAAGAGAATTACGCCCACTTACTCTGATCTTTTTTCAAATATGGATCAGGATTTTTAAAAAGCATTCATTGTTGCCAAACTAACTTTTGTTAGGAACTTTATTATACAAAAGTTACTAAAAACCTCATAGGGAATCTAAGTATTGAAAAAATTGGGGTTTCCATTTAAATATATAAAATGTAACGCAATATCTTATTTTTGGATAACCCTGAATTGTACGGCTATGGGTGAGAAATCAGGATTGACGTGTCCAAGCGTTTTATATGTATTTGTGTACAGGCAGAGCTCATCCGATTATCCGCTTCTTATCCAACAAAATCAAGTCTGATTGGTTTGAATTTCTGTATTGCAACATTTGTAAATGACACTTCCATCCCTTTTGTATACGTACCACTGCTATGCCCTTCCATGACTCTATTTCAGCTTGGAGTAGCTTTAGATCGATTCCTTGCTCCTTTTCAGACTTTGAATATCCATAGCCTGCCATGGAAACTACTAAAATAAGGATAGTCACCTTCATTGCGACTTGATGCACTATGATTTTCCAAAAGTGCATCACTCGCAATTATAATTTATACGAATAGTTTCATCGTTATCTCTTGGTTACCTCTTGTATACCACTTGAAATAATATGCAATTTTTTCTAAGATAGGTATACGAACAATGCAAATCCGCGCTCTAGTGCGAATATGTTTTTGAAATAGAACAGATGCGATAAGAGCAATGCTTTTGATAAAATATCTATATTTTATAGTCATCGACGTATATTCTCAAAAGAACTGTGCCTCAATGCTCATAAAATTCAATTAATACAATACCTGAAGCCTAATAACCAGGAATATCGAAGAGAGTTCGTGGAATGGATTATTTATTGAACATCAATAAGTGGATGCTGATTTTTCGAGCAAAATCATCCCAAGCGATGAAGCACATTTCCACATTGATGGCTTTGTTAATCGAAAAAATTGCCGTATCTCGGGGTCCGGAGAACTCAGCTGTAATTGTCGAAAAACAAATGTACCCACAACGTGTCACTGGTGCGGATTTTGGGCTAGAGCTATCATTGGACCATACTTTTTTGAAAATGAGGTTGCTGAAGCAGTAACTGTTACTGGTGATCGGCATCGCGATATGATAACACAGCTCTTCCTGCCGAAACTGGATGCAATGGATGTGTCCAATGTATGGTTTCAATAAGACGGTGCCACATGCCATACAGTCAGTGAGACATTTCGTGGCCGTATACTTTTTCGGTGACCAGAATTGGCCTCCTGGATCGTGTGATTTAACACCATTAGATTTCTTATTGGGTTATCTAAAGTCAAATTTCTGTCCACAAGCCCACAACCACCCGTGATTACAAGAGGAGAGTTCATCAACGAAATTCAGCCACCATATGCAGAGAGGACATGAAATTTGCGATAATTTTGGGACACCCTTTAAAAGCTTTGATATGAAGCAACCTACAGGTTGCTTCTATTCTAATATTAGGTAGGTAGTGTTGGGGGATGAAAAATTCTTTCCATGAAGTAGGTAAGGAATCTTCTATTTGCAGACAGATGTGAGAAAAGGGTGTTCCAAACAAGAAGGATTCCAGCCGACTGTATCTTCTGTGACGTGAAATCCTTGCAAGCTGAAGTTCCTGACAGTGTGATCAATCCCGAAGCAGTAGATGAAGGCAGAAAAAACTCTGTGTCTACCTGTATCTTTTTGTCCGTCAGAAATTATTTTAATTAACTCAGCACCTGCAATGTTTGTTACTAAAATAATCAAATAGTCGGTGAAACGTTCTACTCCTATCTGGACCAGGAGGTTGAAAAATTCAGGGCGTTTCACAACTTATCCGACAAATTTTAACCACATATGCACTGTTACAAACGAATTTGGTTTCTCAAAAAAAAATGTTACAAAAGTCCTACAGATATTAAGTCATAAACCTGAGTTTCAATAATATACTAAGTGACATATAAATCCGAACATCCAGTTTAAATGGTTTTATTTTAATAAAAGTTGGAGAATGTATTTATCTTACTGTAAATAACAAGTGAAAAAACTTTTAGCCTTATCAGTTGGACATTCCGGTTTTTATACTGCTTTTTTTTAATTCACTAACGCTCTAAAAATGAATATTTCAGCCGCAGTAAATAATCAACGTTGGCGGATTTTGGTTCTTGACATCCTTTACGATCGGTTACGATGCCTAGAGTATGGAGACCTGTACGATTTCGTCAACTTAGTGAGTTTGATAGGGGCCGTATAGTGGGACTTCGGGAAGCTGGACTTCTTTTCGGGCAATTGCAGTTAGTGTGCAAAGAAGTGTAGACACTGTGGTTAGGTGTTGTCAGGCATGGCTTCGAGAAGGCCATACGCAAAGAGCAAGGGGCACTGGACGCCACCGTAGAACAACAGACCGTGAAGATCGCCGCCTAAGATTATTGGCTTTAAGGGACCGTTTCTCCACTACCAGGTCCATTGCAAATGAATGGTTTGCAGAACACGGAAGACCTATTGGTATGCGAAGAGTTTACCGACGAATGAGAAGTTTTGGCTTGGTTTCATACCGGCCACACTAGGTCCTCCCTTTAACTCGAGAACACCGACGTAATCGCCTTAACTGTTGCAGACAACGGTCACTCTGGGATCAGGAATGGAACAGTATTGTCTTTAGTGACGAGTCTTAATTTTGTTTAGGCATGCACGATGGTCGTGCCAGGGTTAGAAGGCGACGTGGTGAAAGGAGGAATCCACAGTTTTTTGTTGAAAGACATGTTCATCACACTGTTGGAGTTATGGCTTGGGGTGCTATAGCTTATGGTTCCAGGTCACCTTTACTCTTCATCAGAGGTAACATGAACGCGCAGCGTTATATCCACGAAGTTCTAGAACTCCATCTTTTACCCTATCTTGACACCCTGGCAGATCCAACTTTCCAACAAGATAATGCCCGACCACATGTTGCAAGAGTCACAGTAGACTTCTTTCAACATAATGATGTCACATTGTTACCATGGCCACCAAGATCTCCCTACTTATCCCCAATTGAGCACGTGCGGGATATGATGGGTAGGAGATTGCTTAATTTGCAACGTCCTCCTCAGACTCTAGAAGCACTTCGAGAGGAGTTAGTGGTTGCCTGGAATGAGATACCACAGGAGCACATTGACCACCTGATCAGAAGCATGCGTAGGCGCGTTGGAGAATGCGTAGCACATCAGGGTGCATCCACACATTATTAAAGGTCAAAGGGCTTTAAAGCAGTGCAATCATTTTGAAATTTGTATCATTTACTTATTATGCTTCGTTGAGTACTTATTCAAAATTTTATTAAAATAAAACCATTTAAACTGGGTGTTCGGATTTATATGTCACTTAGTATAAATTGAAAAATAGATATCTGTATTTTGCCTTAATCGTCGTGATATCAGAACACGGATTAATAACTCATTGTAGCGAATGTTGTACGAAACAACTGACAAAAACAAAATACCAGAAATTTTTTAATTTTTCATACTGATAACAACGAGTAAATAAGGCTTAATCTGTATCGTGGGTGATCTGAATGAAGAACGGTCGATTTTTGTGAAGTTAGTATTTTGCGAGTTTACGTTTTTAGTTATTTATTAATAGAAATGGCACATGTGTACACTAATGAGGAGCTACGGAACACTGTTATAGCGTACGAAGAAGCAGGGCAAAATTCGCGAGCGGCTTCTCGTTTGTATGCACACCGCTTTCCGAATAGACACATACCACATTACGAAACACTTAGTCCAATTGGTTTAAGTGCACGTGCTAGTGGAGATTTTCGCTCCAGACGTGGGGTGGATGGGGTTTGTTTTAAATGCCGAAGGCGAAATTTTGGATATTGTGGAAAAAGATCCGGGAATAGGCACAAGGCAGTTAGCCCAACAGGTCCCAGAAGTGTCTCAAGTATCTCAATTTCTGTAGGACTTTTATTACATTTATTTTGAAAAGTCAACTTCTTTCGTAACAGTGCATATGTGGTTAAAATTTGTCGGATAAGTAGTGAAACACCCTGTATACACAAGCGATGATTCGGAAAATTCTGTTTTTTTTTTGTGGTAGTAACTGCACTACAATTGTTATCGAGAATACAGAATACTTATGGCCCATTACCGCATCGATCACAAAATTCCTCAAGATGGATTGCTGTCAATAGACAAAGCTAATACTGCTATGAATTAGGTCTAAGATATTTGATTGATCCGATTTTTGATTTAACTAAGATCAGTAAGAAGATCTGGGAAAAGACGCCTCAGGCAGCTTGAGGTCAACATGGATTTTTCAGACATTGCAAAGCCTACTACTTAAATCTTCGCAATTCTAATGTGTCTCTGGTTTATGCTGTATGACCAGAGCATACCTTAGCTTTAGCTTACATCTCTACAAACTCGTTCACTCTCGGATGTGTCGCTCTTTCACCAAGTATTGTAGATGGTAATGGACTTTACATTGCTATGATTTTATATCTTGTCGATTTTTGTAGCAGCTTGTTTCAAATTTTAAGGCCTTAAGGCTGCTACACACAGCTCCGTACACCCGGCGGCATACAAACCCGCCGGCCTTGCCGCGCAAAGGAGCCGCCGACATTGCCGCCGGGGTATGCCGGCGGGTTACGCGGCTTGCCGGCGTCACTTCGTACCTGGCATTCGAGCGGTAGTGTTGTGGGGTTTGTGCAATTAAACAAATTAAAATGTCGTTTAATTGGGACGACGAAGCTGTGCTGCTCTTAATTGAAAAATTTCATGAAAATGATATATTATGGAATCCCAGAAATGCAGACTATAAGAATAGGAGCAATCGATGCACTGAACATAACATAATTGCAAGTGTATTTGACATTGATAAAGGCGAAGTAGAGAGAAAGTTAAAAACTGTAACCTCTCATTATTTTCGGGAAAAGAAGAAACCCAAAAAATATGCTATTGCGCAAACGCTGACACCCCATATCATCTTTTTTATACTCTTCTGTCATTACAGTACCGTTTCGCCATTTTCTATTTTGTAAACTTGGGTGGAACCCAAGCCTTCTCGTCCTTTTGTATTATTTTCTTATTAAAATAAAAATTACAACTGCGGCGGCTGTGCTGATGATTTCCTTATTCATTTTAACCAACCAACCATAAAATATGCACTTCACTAGCGTTCTATGTGACTGTCACAACCGGAATGATGCTTGGCGGCTTTGCGCGGCTTGTGCCGGCGGCTTGTATTGCCGACGGCATAGCCGCTCGGCATAAACTCGGCGGCATTACCGCCGGCTTGTGTGTAGTAGCTTTTAGACAAATATAGTTAGTACAAGTCAGCGCTCTACAGAAATAGATAATACCTGATATGAAGTGGGAATCCGAATTATTTGTCAATAAACACTACTATGGAAGGTAATTCGTTTTCTATGACAGGTTGTAAATCTATATGTACATCATATCTCTAATCATCTAGAGGTTATCGGATACGAGTGATTATTGTACAGTTGCAAAGTGTCATTGAACTATCAAATAGATGATTAGGGATA